CCAAGGCGTCTACCATATTCAATCATTAACATATGACTGGAGCTTCTAATTCTACTTAAGGCAATACGAAATACTTTGCATTGAACGTGATTAATGTAGAACTCTAAGCAAACTTTGTTTTGATATTACTCAGAAAATCAAGTTTAGAAAAACACAGCATATCACCTTTCCATGATTGGTTATGAACGTCAATACATCTTTGTTTGAACAGAGATATGAAAGTAGTGACATTCCCAACATTCTGGTAAAACCAGGCATATCCAAACCATATTGATTTAGAAGTCCTTTTTACACTTAGTGCCCAACATGGGCGTCCTTTCTCTACAGTTCGATATTGATATTCATACACTTTCTTTAAAATAACATTATCAGCTTGAGACACCAGTCTTATCCAATATTTAATAATTTTACAGTAAATATTAACTTTAAGGGGAGTGTCTACCAAGCTCGGCATGAGCGAATATATTCGGGGTGCTTCTTGGAAGATTGAGAACTTGTTTGCAAAATTTGTCATGGATATTAATAACATTAGGTGCTGTGTGAAATCCCCATACTTCGCTGCCATACAGTAAGATTGGGAGAATTTTAACATCAAATATTTTGAACAAAACATGAATGGGGAGATTTGAGAAATTAGGTATTGATGATCTGAGTATACCAAGAACTTTCCATGCTTGTTCTTACTGAGGGTTTTTGAGATATATACCCACGAGCCTGAGCTGGATAAATGAACCCTAAGTACTTATAGGATGGAGACAGTATCAATAACATTATTTTTTAGATAAAATCGTTCGCATTTCTTAAGTCTGCCACCCTTTCTAAACACAATAATTTTACTCTTTGCTACATTGATTTTTAGTTTCCAACGGTCACAATAACCAACTAATTTGTCTAATCTCTTTTGGAGACCACCAACAGAAAAGTCAAAGATTACAATGTCGTCAGCAAATAGTAATATAAACAATTCAATTAGTTCCAGATTCACACCCCTCTGGTTATCTAATGCTAGGCTCTCTACAATATCATTTACAAAAAATGAGAACAGGAAAGGGGATAGTTGGCAACCCTGGCGGACGCCATTTTGGCACTCAAAAAATGCTGTATATCCTTCATTTATAGAGACACATGATCTTACAGATTTGTACATGTTTTTCAATAATCTGAATAATTTCCCTGATCCCGAGTACCCGACAATTTGGATGCTTATCTGAAACCAACATTCAAGCATACACGTAGCTGTTCCAACTTCCAATCTACGAATAATGCAACATGTATATGTGAATCCAAACGTTCCTGAATAAAGCAATTGATATTCAATGTCAATGGAAGTATCTATTACCTTTTTATTTGCAAACAGAATGTGAAGGCAACGTAAGTGTCACTGTGACCAGTTCTACGCGATCAATTATGTGATTAATATTCATGAGCTGGGCCGGTGATACCTTATTGATTTAAACATATTTCTATTCATGAAGATGAATTGGGATTGGTGAACAAGCATTACTGATTATATTAACACCGCTCCCATGCAACATATAATACAATATGAAAATGGAGGATTTGACGTCATCGATACTGACCATTGCATAAATATAATATCTTTAGAATGTATAAATATATACAGATTACATGAAATACAACTATTCTCTAAGTAGTCATAAGTTAGAGAGTTACAGTTGTGTGTGTCTCACAAACCATTGTAGAACTATAAATCAATCATGAGAAGGTTGTTGAGTAAATTTAATTATTTTCCTGAGAAAATTTAAAGCGTTGTGTCTTGGTTATATAATCGTGGACGGATTCAACTATTTTCTGGTTTACACAGGGAGTAAGTTCTTTGTTTCCCTTAAGAATGGTATCCAGGTTATAACCGGTAGTGTAAAAATACATATTAAGTCTTATCCGAGTATAGTTACGGCAAGTGAGGAAATAGTGTAGGGCGTTTTCACTCTGATGTCCACAAGAACAACAAGGGCTGTCTATTAAATGTCTGTTATACTTATCGGCGTTTAGGTCGCTACATCCGAGCCTGAGGCGGCAGTGAACGATTTGGCAAAAACGAGTGCCATAATTAAGGTCAAAGTAAATCTTATTTCCAGTTTTTGTAATTAGGTTTTTAAATTCTGTGAGATTACATGACGCTTTGGAATTTGGTAGGGCATTCCATAAATTTATTGTGGCAGGTAAAAAGGATTTAGCATAAGAGGCAGTGCGACTGTAAATTCTTTGTATTTCAGAGTTATTCCTCAAGCTGTATTTTGTAGTTCCCGAGACGGAGTTTGGGATCAGGTCACAAAGATATTTTGGCAATTGGTTGTTGTACATCTTATAGAAAAAAGTTAACTTCTGGCAATTCCTTCTATCTTGCATGGACTGAGATTTGGTTTCATTATAGAGTTTGTTATGACTTGTGCCGCGAACGGCACCACATATAGTTCTCAGAGCATCAAGATGTAAATTTTCTAATGTACGCGATTGCTCAGAAGTACAGTTATCCCAAATATGTGAACAATAGTCAAATATTGGCAAGATATAGGATTTATACATAATATCCAACGTTTTACGTGATAATCGGTATTTAAAACTCCTCAAACAACTGATCATAGGGCGAACTTTACGTACAATATCATTAGTGTGATCATTCCACGTACAATCGCTTTGGAGTGATAATCCTAAATGTTTATGACTTTTGAATTCTTTTATGATTGTTCCGTCCATGAATAGGTTCGGTTTTAGAGACGGTTTCGTTTTACGTGAGAACTGAGTAGTTTCGGTTTTATTTGGATGAAATGTAACCTGCCACTTACGGGCCCATTGTGAAATTCTATCTAGATCTTTGTTAAGACAGGTAGCAGCAACTGATGGATCGTCTATGATAACATATAATGAAGTGTCATCCGCAAAGAGACGAATGTTACTGTCAACATCACATACAATATCGTTAATGTATATAAGAAAAGAAGTGGTCCAAGGACAGAGCCCTGAGGTACTCCAGCTAGTACAGTTTTCTTGTCAGATTTAGAGCCGTTAATTGCGACCCGTTGTACTCTATTTTCTAAATAACTTTCAAACCATTGTAATAGTTCGCCTTGGATACCATAGGTTTTCAGTTTATAAATAATTCCTCTATGCCAGACCTTATCAAAGGCTTTACTTATGTCGCAGAAGACTGCTCTAACCTCTTTTCCTTCGTCAAGAGCTTTGGCTATAAAGTTGTACAAAAAGGTTAATTGATTTGTTGTGGAGTCTCCTGGCATGAATCCTGATTGTAAATTTGTCATTAAGTCGTTATCTCTTAGGAAATTGAATACATATTTAAATACACATTTCTCAAAGACTTTCGATAAACAAGATGTGAGTGCGACAGGGCGGTAGTTAGAACAGTCATGTACGCTATCTTTCTTGTGAATAGGTATTACCGATGCTTCTTTCCATGGACTGGGAAACATTGACAGGCTAAGGGACAAATTGAATAATTTCGTAAGTATGGATGTTAGACGTGATACCTTATTACGCCTGTAAATGCTGTAATATGATTGGATGTGTCTGGGAAAAGAAACCAATCAATCTACGTCTCTTTTCTTTTGGTTTTAAGTTTGACTGCGCTTTCAAGATTATCTAATATTAATATGTCGTTGCAGTTATTACATATTAGCAACTTTTAAACATTCACCTGAACGATAAGTCACATAATCAATTAACCTTAATCACGGTTAAAATGCGGCAAAACACGTTCCAAAGCTGGAAGATACATAGTTAAAGCATTCATTGATTGGTGCTGCATAAGATACTAGTATCTTGTAAAGATGGATCGACTATGGAACTTAAAGAATATGTTAAACAGGATTGATGTTTATTTGAGACTTCTTATAGTGAAAACGGTTTGGTTTCAAACTAAAGACTAACCATTTATTGAGTAACACTACGCTGTATTTCTTCTTCCGAAACTCTGCTGAACGGAGATCACGTCAATGGTATTCATTGTGATTAAAAGTTTCACTATTAAAGATATAGGTCTCTAAGTGTGAATGTTATTTTGAATGCGTATGTATGTGTTGATTGTTGAATATGTAACACTGAAATACGCTGGATAAGAACGATTGAATATCTATGTAGAAAACAAGTTGTTCAAACATAGGTATAGTGGGCAGGGACAGTGATACAGCCGTGCGTGGCTACGCTTATCCACGCGTCCGTAGTTAGGGCAACGGCAGGTACTGTTTTGGGTACTGATATTTTGTTCTCCTGGCAAACTTCATACGACTTTATGAGGTAGTTGTGAATTGTCGCAGTACATGGGACCTGGTAATTTGGGTTTAATGGTTCACAGAAAGCCCTGAAACCCTCCCCTTTAACAAGACTTAATGGTCGCTTATCCTTAACGCGCATAAGCATTGCTTTTTGCGTAATACCTTCATACCATTTGGCTTGCGACTTTTGCTATCAAACTTACCAAACTGCCACAGCGTTGCTTGTTGGGCTGGTTTTCTGTCTACAGTGCTTATTGTGGGTGCTTACAGGACAAATGCTTGCGTAACTAAGGGAAACGCCACAAAGACGGCATTTCGTATTTTGGCCACTAAATCAAGATAAAAATGCGTCCAGACATTGGATTTTTTCTCACGATCATCCATCTTGATTGCATGAGATGTTTAGAGGTATCTCCCCTGCGAGTCCTCGAGTCCATTCAATTGGACTCGAGTCCTGCTTTACCCGACTCGGCCCCGAGTACACGTGAGAGCCCTACTGTAGACCCGTGAAGATCCGGGTTACTATTGGTCTTCAGTGACCCATTTAAGATGCGACTAACGGGATCGGGTGGTCAGGCTCGCTGACTCGGTTGACACATGTCTTTGTATCCCAATAACGAAGATCGATGCTCATGATGTTGATCACTGCATTATCTGGTCCAGGCTCGATTATTCACAGACCGGCGCCAAATAGCTGGAAAATTGCTGAGTGCGGCGTTAAAAAAACAAACAAAGCATGATTGTACTTACGGTGAATATGTCATCATATTCTCCTTTGGAACATTCTTCCCCGGACGATGACTCCACATCACTTTCTTCCTCAAACTGAAGTATTGCAGCAAATGAAACGAATGGAGCGTCGACATAACCTCCAATAGGACCGCCGCGATTACCTCCCATAGGAATGGACTCGAGCTGTATTTCGTTCTCGTTACAAATGTAGCAGAATACATTCCTGTAATAATCCCTGAAGACATGTGTGTAAGCATGACAAGCAGCTTCAATGTCTGAATTATATTCTTGCCAGATTCCTGTGACATTGCATTCCGATATCAAATCCAGCACTGTGCATGGCCGAGTAGAAATATTCCTGGGTTTGTTTTGACCAACCATGCACATGAGTGAATTCTGTAGCCTCGCAAAGATAACTCCCGGGTCGGAAACATCGTTTATCTCTTCTGGTAAATCCGTACAGGATATATCAACAGTCCATGTTTGAAAGTCAGCATATCCGTGACACTGGGCACAATATTTATTTCGAAACGTTAGGGAAGTCTGATTTTCCTGTTTAAAGATACTAACACCTCTTCGTCGTGGTTCAGCCTGTTTGGCGTGGTGCACTTGCGGGAAACGTCCTCCGAGTAGTTTTCATCCCTGGCGAACAGTTTGCAACGACAAATAATGCGTTTGATTCGTGTGTTCTCGAGTAGATTGCCTCACACTGAAATGAGTGGTCTCCATTACCAATATACAGATCGGAACAACAGTCACCAAACCTTCTGCACTCGGAATCACAAAACAAGTGCTGCAAGAAGATTCATAGGGAAAGATTCCAGGTGGACCAGGAGGAAAAGTTTCATTGGGAAAAGATTGAGATATGTTTGTTGCTGCAGTGGATTCCAAGATGTCTTCAAAGGTCGAAGGTGATGATGTGTTGAAGCAGCGCGAACCACAATACATTTCTTCGTATCGAAGGATCAGTGAGGTTATGTTTTCGTTGACGTTGGATTCATCAGCCTTTACTGACGGACACAGAACTATCCACAGTTGAAGCATCCTCAGCAGCATCTTCAGCGTCATCTTTGTCCAGCCTTCTATTGTCCTGTATTATAAAAATGTTTGGTTGTCAAAGGGGAATTATCTTTTCGCCTGGAGTGATCGACTTTAGTTTGACGCCGCACTCAGCAATATTCCAGCTACATGGCGGCTGTCTGTAAGTAATCGAGTCTGAACCAGACAATCCAATGATCAACAGCATGATCATGGGATACGATGACATGTAAAGGACATTTAGTACACAGCATATGGACAGAAAAACAACATATGTACAGTAAAACAACATATGGACAATAAACAGCATATGGACAATAAAAAACACATGGACAGTAAAACAACATATGGACAGTAAAACAACACATGGACAGTAAAACAACATGGACAGTTAAACAGCATATGGACAGTAAAACAACACATGGACAGTAAAACAACACATGGACAGTAAAACAACATATGGACAGTAAAACAACACATGGACAGTAAAACAACACATGGACAGTAAAAAACAACATATGGACAGTAAAACAACTCATGGACAGTAAAACAACACATGGACAGTAAAACAACACATGGACAGAAAAACAACATATGGACAGTAAAACAACACATGGACAGTTAAACAGCATATGGACAGTAAAACAACACATGGACAGTAAAACAACATATGGACAGTAAAACAACATATGGGCAGTAAAACAACATGGACAGTTAAACAACATATGGACAGTAAAACAACACATGGACAGTTAAACAACATATGGACAGTAAAACAACACATGGACAGTAAAACAACATATGGACAGTAAAACAACATATGGACAGTAAAACAACACATGGACAGTAAAACAACACATGGACAGTAAAACAACATATGGACAGTAAAACAACACATGGACAGTAAAACAACATATGGACAGTAAAACAACATGGACAGTAAAACAGCATATGGACAGTAAAACAACATGGACAGTAAAACAACATATGGACAGTAAAACAGCATATGGACAGTATAACAACATATGGACAGTAAAACAACACATGGACAGTAAAACAACATGGACAGTAAAACAGCATATGGACAGTAAAACAACATATGGACAGTACAACATATGGACAGTAAAACAACACATGGACAGTAAAACAACACATGGACAGTAAAACAACATGGACAGTAAAACAACATATGGACAGTAAAACAACACATGGACAGTAAAACAGCATATGGACAGTATAACAACATATGGACAGTAAAACAACACATGGACAGTAAAACAACATGGACAGTAAAACAGCATATGGACAGTAAAACAACATATGGACAGTACAACATATGGACAGTAAAACAACACATGGACAGTAAAACAACACATGGACAGTAAAACAACATGGACAGTAAAACAACATATGGACAGTAAAACAACACATGGACAGTAAAACAGCATATGGACAGTATAACAACATATGGACAGTAAAACAACACATGGACAGTAAAACAACATGGACAGTAAAACAGCATATGAACAGTAAAACAACATATGGACAGTACAACATATGGACAGTAAAACAACACATGGACAGTAAAACAACACATGGACAGTAAAACAACATGGACAGTAAAACAACATATGGACAGTAAAACAACACATGGACAGTAAAACAACAAATTCACAGTAAGAGCAATATTTGCTCCAAGATTCGATTCACCAGTTTGGCTCAATATATGAAGCCCATTTTCTGGTGTCCCCCGTCGTGATATTGCTGGAATATTGATAAAAGTGGCGTAAAACCATACTCACTCACTCACGCCAGCCATTCCCGCTCGCAGTCATCCGTGTACATTCAGTCACCTGTTCGAAGATCTCATGTGAAATTTGTCTTGTTGTACAGTTTCACAAAAATAAAGCATAGGTATAAATAACAGAGTTCTTCACCTAATTGTGTTTTTAGAAGTCATTTGCTAGGGATTAAAAGCTTCTAACAACGAAGAGGATCCTTATGACGGAAACAATTATCTGATTGACAAACACACTTTACAGGTATTAGTCAACAGAATGTAGTTGGAAATAGTTTAACAAAGAGGATTAAGTGTCACATTGTGACAAAGGTGAGGAGAAGGTTTAACCTGTCTGTGACTGTACCCCAGATAAATAAAAATAGGGATTAAGACAGGGATTAGTGTCAAGAGGTCCCTGGAGTGTCTGTCTGCACTGCTTTGATGTCATGGGGCGGTGAGGTAACCTAGTGGACGCCGAAAACCCGAGTTCGATTCCCCACATGGGTACAATGTGTGAAGCCCATTCCCGGTGTCCCCAGACGTGATATTGCTGGAATATTGCTAAAGGAGGCTACAAACCAAACTCACTCACTCACTGACTTTGATGTCAAGAAATGTTGGCATAACATATTGTTTACATCATCTACATTATCGAAAATATTTTTTAGCTCACAAATATTATGTTCCTCCTATACTCATGCCAATAATGGTTGTCACCCCCTTCAATTTGTTTAATTGGAGAGGGGTGGGGTGTGAGGTGTGTGGGGTGTTGGGGTGGGGAGGGGTGACAACCATTATTGGCATTATTATATAACAGAAGTTGGCATCTCTAAATCAACCCCCACCCCACAAACACCCCAACCCCTAACCACACACCCAATTTGTTATTATATAAAATAAAACATAAAATGAACTGTAAACAGTTTTGTTTTATTTCACAAGGTTGTGAAATGATGGCATGTGTGTTATTGTGTTAAATCGAACTTTAACTTATGTATCGGGTGTTATGTCATATTGCTTACATAGAAAATAAAACATAAAATAAATAAGTATTATTGTTTTATTACGTGGGGATGAGCCAGACGGCAGGCTGTTGTCGACCTAATTGACCAATTAGTACCCGGAACAATAGTGCAGCCATAGTGATGGTATGTTCTCATTTTGCCTACATCCCATTTCGCCTACAGTCTTATAACAACATGTCATGGTCTGTTGACTGTAGATTACGCAATGGTGAACTAGTGGCACCCCTATGATCTAAAAATGGACTCTTCTAGTTGAAGTAGTTCAAGGACAAAAAGAATTTATTTATTTCTGTTACTTATCATTTTGACCATGGTGATGTGTCCCCTCTAAAATAGAGATAATTCCTTAGCACATCTTCGTTTGAGGGATTATCAAGGATCACATACCGTTGCAATAATGCAATAAGGCTTTACAATGTTCATCTCCATTTGTTCTCCCTTTCTGCTCTTTTCAAGTGTGGTGTTTTGGGCATGAAGCGATTATGGCGTGCACATGTTTTGGGAGACAGTCTTGCACATTCACATAACATCGATGATACGTCCAGACAATGGGATACAGTTGAAATGTACAACTGTATAAACCTCTCAGACAATGAGATACAGTTGAAATGTCCACCCTTATAAACCCGTCAGACAATGAGATACAGTTGAAATGTCCAACCTTATAAACCCGTCAGACAATGAGATACAGTTGAAATGTCCACCCTTATAAACCCGTCAGACAATGAGATACAGTTGAAATGTCCAACCTTATAAACCCGTCAGACAATGAGATACAGTTGAAATGTCCAACCTTATAAACCCGTCAGACAATGAGTTACAGTTGGAATGTCCAACCTTATAAACCCGTCAGACAATGAGATACAGTTGAAATGTCCAACTGTATAAACCTCTCAGACAACGACATACAGTTGAAATGTCCAATTGATAAACCTCTCAGACAATGAGATACAGTTGAAATGTCCAATGATAAACCTCTCAGACAATGAGATATAGTTGAAATGTCCAACCTTATAAACCCGTCAGACAATGAGATACAGTTGAAATGTCCAACTGTATAAACCTCTCAGACAACGACATACAGTTGAAATGTCCAATTGATAAACCTCTCAGACAATGAGATACAGTTGAAATGTCCAATGATAAACCTCTCAGACAATGAGATATAGTTGAAATGTCCAACCTTATAAACCCGTCAGACAATGAGATACAGTTGAAATGTCCAACCTTATAAACCCGTCAGACAATGAGATACAGTTGAAATGTCCAACTGTATAAACCTCTCAGACAACGACATACAGTTGAAATGTCCAACTGATAAACCTCTCAGACAATGAGATACAGTTGAAATGTCCAACTGTATTAACCTGTCAGACAGTGAGATGTGTGTGTTACCGTTTTTAACACGAGGTGTATTTCACAACCAAACCTGTGCTGTTGTTTTTTCATTATTACAACGCAGAAAACATTTGTTATGTTAGCAAGTGGTTTTATCTGTATAAATACATTCGGCTTGTATGGTATCACAACACAAGAGCGGCACTGTGACACATTTGACGTATAAATTACTATTTTATGGAGGTTTTTGTTATGCATAGGTGAGACGAAAATACAATATCTGTCTGTTTGATAAATGTTCAGACAGGATAAACAAGGCAACCCGTGGGTAGCGTTAATGCAAAAATATTGTCATTCAATG